GCTTTGCTCTCATATTGGCACACTGTCAAGGTGACCAACAGGCTGCGTTGACTTTCCATCGTTCCCAGGAGATCCTTAACCACACCACCTCTCCTCCTTTTGCTGCTAATCCTCTGACTCCTTTCAGCCCTAAAGACTCTGTCGCTTCCTGCATCCAAGGGCTGGATGCTGCCTGCCTCGCAGCCCGGCGAGATGGCTGGCTGCCTGGGGGATGGCAGGGGATCCTGTGCTTCTAGCAGGAGCTGCAATCCAAGTGACACTGTTTCCTAGCTCTCCTGTCAGGGTGCCTGTCACCGAAATAGCAGGGGACCTTCACACTCCAGCAAGTCCACTTCGGTTTTCCTTTTGTCCCCTTCCATGCTACAGCCTAATACATGGTAAAGCTGGTGAGTCCCAACAAAGTTGTGAGAGGAGAAACAGTTCCCCTCAAGCATAGAGAACCCATCAGACATCACAGAATCATGGAATGGTAGGGCTTGGAAGGGACCTCTGGAGATCATCTAGTGCAAACCCCCTGCTAGAGCAGGATCACCCAGAGCAGGTTGCACAGGATGGCATCCAGGTGGGTTTTGAATCTCTCCAGAGAAGGGACTCCACAACCTCTCTGGGCAGCCTGTTCCAGTGCTCGGTCACCCTCAAAGTGAAGAAGTTTTTACTCATATTGAGATGGAACTTCCTGTGTTCCAGTTTGTGCCCATTGCCCCTTGTTCTGTCACTGGGCACCATTCAAAAGAGAATCCTGCCATCTTCTTGCAGTTCCTGCTGTTGGTTTTACTGAGAGCCAGAACTAAACAGAGCTAATTTGCAGTCACACATTCAAGCCAGCGTGTCTGTCCAGCTCTGCCCCACGCAGCGTGGATGTCCTTTTAAGTGCTGGTTAAGCAGTCCCCGTCCTGCCTTCGTGCAGCGAGGGCCAAGTGGGTGCACGCTGCTGCGCCAGGCGGATGGCGTGGTGGGTTCAGGAGCTGTGATGCTGAGCGTAAAATGGTGCTGAGCATCACTGTAAAGAGAGTTACATTTGCACATTGGTGCATTTTAAAATGTGAAGCAAATATTCACGTGGACCAAGCTAGGCAGGGTGCCCCAACAGACTGCAGTGCATTCGCACTTATCCCTGTTTTCCTGCTCAAAAAACATAAAAGCTCTCTTACATTTATGTGTGGGGAGACCGTTTGTTTTACCTCTCCTCTAGAGCAAAGTCAATATTACACAGCAGTAATTTCAGAGCTAAACTCCAAAACTTGAGGTTGTTCAGAGCTAGATTTAACAGTGTCTAATGCTAAAGGCATATAAACAGAATACAGACTTAGATCGAAGGTTGTCCCAGGGTGTTTGTTGGTTTCTGGCCATTTCAGAAATGTGTGAGGTAGTTGCAAAGTTTGGAGCTAGAGCTCAATGGCTATTTTAGGTTTAGCTGGAGTGAGTATAGGGCATGCACAGGGCATTTCAAACGGGCAGTGGCAGAATTTCAAGGCATGAAGTTTCCATCCTGCAGAAGGAAGGAGAGACATTAGCCACAACACATCCCTCCCTGTGAAGCAGGGGACAAGAGCTGACATGATAAACCACAAGGGACTTCACAGTGGCTTTCAAAGCTTCTTCCAACCCCGCAACTTCTGGATCCTTAGAGTCCGTGCATTAGCAGCCGTTGGTTTTCTTGTGGAGATGGGCATTAAGACAAAGCAGGGCTCTGATGTTTAGCTGAGCACCGGATTTGACACGCAACATCAGGCTTTTTTCTTATCGCACTCACAGTGGATGAGAAACCCTGACATCCATCAACAGGACATGGTCATGAGAGCATTCTGGGGACAGCTGCAATGTGTTGAAGGCATTGCAGCACTAATCTTGGTGTTACAGACTCCCAGAACAAGACTGGTGGAAGGGACAGCGTGTGTCTCTGTGTCATGTTGACTGAAAATGTTCATCTGCAGGGAAAGACAAGGTGGCCAACTCTAGTAGAGGACATTAAGGGAAGGACCTCCAACAGGGGTGGTCTGTCTGGGCCCTAAGCAAGATTTTGCCCAGCTTTGTCCTAACTTTTGTTTGTACACAGGACGAAGCTATTCTGTAACGATGAAAAACAGAGAAGCCGTGTGGAGGCCTGTCCCAACAAAAAGTGGTAACAGTTGAAAGGTGGCCACGTCTTTAAGTTGTAATGGAGAGAGATCAGAGACAGTGTTGGAAATAATATTTAGTATTTACCCTTTATTTGACCAGACTGGGCCATCAAGTGGTAATATGAGAAGAGAGGGAGATATTAAAATTAGAAATTGAATACGTACTGCAGTGTTTGGAGTGTCTCCATTGTTTTCTGAGTGGTAATTTCCCAGCAGCTGTTCACTCAGAGGCCTTTATTGCTCAGGACACTTCTTCTGGAGTGCTATGAACTCTCCATCTACAACATGGGGAGGAGAACACAAGGGGATTTTTCCTTTTTCTTATCTGAACAGCATTTGAAAGGAGATTTTGCAGTTGTTTGGAGAGCTGCTAGGGTAGGGTACAGGCTACACTTCCAGTCTCAAAGAAAGTCTTAGAGATAATGGAGGTCTAGAGGACCCACCACTGCTCACCTGCTTGTATTAGGCTGAATGCTTGAATAATAACCCTCCTTTTAGCCGGTACTCCAGGGACTGACTCTGGACCTCTAAAGCTTGACAAACTGCCTCCTAAAGCTTGAACTGAGTAATTGAGGTTGTGCTACTGGTAGCTGGGAACTTACGTCCTTCCCCACAAGAGAGCCCACAAAAAGTTTTCTGAGAGCAGTGCTAGGACACAGCAAATTTCCAGGGGTCCTTCTGTGTCATTGCATCAGAGCTCCTGTCACCCACAGGTATCTCAGCAGCTTCTATATTAATCTCTAAATTAACACTGGTGGGACAGCCCTGATTCCAAGCCGTAGTCTTAGTTACACAAATATGCTGGCTGTTGCACTGGGGCTGCTTAATTTTGCACACCATCAAGGTGAGACCTGTTGCCGACAGAGCTGTATGATGTAGTCAAGAAGGTCTTGGTGGAAGTCAGCTCCTCGCAGGACCAAGACAAAAGCCATCCATCTCATATCTTTGCTGTGGGAGATTCACAAAAGGATCAGATGTTTTGCAAAGAGGTCTTTGGCGTTGAACACAAGAGCTGCCTGTCAATCAGGGAAGCACTGCTTAGAAATAGTAGTCTGGAGCTGCCGAGCATTGTTAAAGCATTCACTTACTCCCTTCCAGTGGTAATATTATTTAAGAGATCTGTGAAGAGATCCCTTGGCAAGTACTGGGGAACCTCTTTGTGAAATGCAAATATTTCTGTGCCTCGTAGGCACAAGGCTGAAAGCATCTCCACTAGACTAATATATTGCTGGAGTTTGCTGTCGGTTTCCCTTCTCGGATATCACTTCACTC